TTTTCTCCCTTGAATATTTTCAATCCACATTTCATTGAATCCACAGATGTGGCGTCTATGGATACTGAGGGACAACTGTATGATGAAAACTAGGGGTAGGCTTTTTATTTTTAATCATATTGTCAAATATCTTTTCCATTGTGTTGAATGTTTTAATAAAAAACTGGATGTTGAATTTTGTTGAAAGCATTTTTAGCATTTCACTCATACAACACTAGCAATATACTACAAGTAGTGAATTAAACAGACGAAAACCCTAATCAGATGATTTTTCTCTTTATATCTAAATTATATAATAAATTCCTAATGCCTAACTTTTTTGAATTCTGCAGATAGAAGTTTTCAGCAGACCAATTTCCATAGAAGAAATAGAAAAAATTTTAAGCACTATCTCTCATGAAAGCACCAGGTCCAGCTGGTTTCGTAGAATTCTTTTTTGAGATAAGGCTGGAGTGCAGTGGCTCGATCATGGCTGCAGCCTCGATCTTCCAGGCCCAAGTGATCCTCCTACCTCAACCTCCCAAAGCTGTGGGACTACAGGCACTTGCCGCCATGCCTGGCTAATGTTAAAATGTTTTGTAGAGACAGTGCCTCCCTCTGTTGCCCAGGCTGTTGGCAAACTCCTGGGCTCAAGCAATCCACCTGCCTCGGCCTCCCAAAGTGCTGGGATTATAGGTGTGAGCCACCGTACCCAGCCTTGTTTTCATAGAATTCTACCAAACTCTCAAAGGGGCCAGATAAACCAGAGATAATGAAATTGGTTCAAGGTATAGAAAAAAAAGTAAAATTCCAGAAAAATCTAAGTAATTTCTGCTATAAATACATTCAGTCTGTCAGTTCTTTGACCCTTGTCTTTTCAGTCATTACTTGGTTAAATGAAGTTTATTTTCTGTTACTTTCTTCAAAAAAGGCGTATCTTAAAGCACGAACATTTTGAAAATTTACTGCTGAGAATCATTTCCCATTTAAGGTTAGGCAATAGTTTGGCCAATTGAATGTTTTTGTTGTTTCCATATTCTTTCCATAATTACTTGATGGGTAGTTTTTCCCTGTCTTCTAGATCTGGATGTTACTGCACAGAGCCTGTTTTTGTTTTTGTTTTTGTTTTTGTTTTTGTTTTTGTTTTTTTTAACCCCTTAACCCCTTGCGAAGGCCTGGGTCTTTTTGTCTCATTGCCTGATTATTTTTCATTGAATTTCAGCAAATTTAATAGCATGCATTTTGTAATGATCATTATTTTTGGTTTTGTTCTAAACATGGTGTGCTTTTTCAATCTGGAGCATAAAACTGTATTTATCGGCCAGGCACAGTGGCTCATGCATATAATCCCAGCACTCTGGGAGGCTGAGGCAGGTGGATCACTTGAGGTCAGGAGTTTGAGACCAGCCTGGCCAACATGTTGAAACCCCATCTGTCAGCCGGGAGTGGGGCCGGATACCTGTAATCCCAGCTATTCGGGAGGCTGAGATGGGAGAATCACTTGAACCCAGGAGGTGGAGGTTGCAGTGAGCTGAGATCGCACCACTGCACTCCAGCTTGGGTGACAGAGTGAGGCTCCATCTCTAAACAAAAACAAAAACACTATATTTATGAACATATTTATGAACAGTTTTTGTTACATTTTTTTTTTTTTTTGAGACCGAGTCTTACTCTGTCGCCCAGGCTGGAGTGTAGTGGTGCAATCTCCACTCACTGCAACATCTGCCGCCTGCCACCTCCTTGCCCCATCCTGCCATTTTTCCCCCACACCATTCAAGCAATCAAGCGATTCTCCCACTGCAGCCTTCCGAGTAGCTGGGATTACAGGCACGCACTACCACCCTCAGCTAATTTTTGTACTTTTAGTAGAGATAGGGTTTTGCCATGTTAGCCAGGTTGGTCTTGAACTCCTGACCTCAAGGTGATCTGCCTGTCTCAGCCACCCAAAGTGTTGGGATTACAGGCATGAGCCTCCACGCCTGGCCAGTTACATGTTTATGTATTCATTCTATTCCATTTTATGAGAGGAGCACCTAATTATGTGTTGAATCTTTTTGCACTATTGTGTAATTTTTTTAACTGTTCCCTTTAATGTTGTTTTCATAGTCTTCTCCCTCCTTGACTGATTTTCAGCATTCTCTCTCATGTTCCACTTCTAATTTTGCCTTCATTCCTGAAACTGCTGAGCAATTGTCTTCTGTTTCTCTCTTGAGCCCTGCCCATATATTTTGTCTTCTGTTCTTCTCCCATCATTTCCAGTGAGCTCTTACGTGTTCGCTTTGTGTTTTCATTTCATAGAAGCAGTTACTTCATTAAGTTTTTTAATTCATGGTACAGTGTTCATCTGTCTAGTGAAAGCACTTCTAGTGTGTTTCATTCCACCTTTTGTGTTTTAGCATCTTTCAATAGATCCTGTGTTGATTCCTTTCTGAGTATTCATCCTTGATTGGATTGACTTTATTCTGGATCCCCTGTTTGTAATTGGTTCTTGTTGTAGCCTGGACTATATACCGAGTTTGGAGAAATTTTCTAAATGACCCAGTGTCCTGTGTTTGAATTTTGTTGGCCATTACTTTATTCCTGTCGGTGAAAATAGACCACTTAAAATGGCAAAGCCTCTCTTCCTTGGGTCCCCCTCACACTGTTCCCCACAGATGGGGCTTATCTGTATTTGTGTGACTCGTAGTTTAATCCTAGATCTTTTGCTTTTTAACTCTTGAAACTGGTCCGATACTGCTTCACTGCCAGCTCCACTCCCACTGTTACACAAACGATTTTGGTTTTCTCTGTCAGTGTGTGCTCCTCATTTTGGAGCTTTATATTTAATTGCTGGATTTTATCCCTAAAATTGTAGCCCCAGAAATTCTCTGTTCAGGCTGGGCATGGTAGCTCATGTCTGTAATCCTAGCACTTTGGGAGGCTGGGGCAGGAGGATTGTCTGAGCCCAGGAGTTCAAGACCAGCCTGAGCAACATAGTGAGAATTTAGTGATACTCTTATCTCTCTCTCTCTCTTTTTTTTTTTTTTTAAAGTGGGGGGAAAGAAAGAAATCCTCCCTTCATTGGCACCTGAGTTCCTGTTTGTTTATCCCTACCTTTGGCAGTTCTGCTGTCCTGTGTTTTCAGGTTTCAGATGTCTCCTAATTTTGCAAAAGGAGGGCACTGTATTTCTCTTTTTTGTTTTCCTTGCTATTTCCTTACTATTCTCTGAGAGGAGAAGGAAAAAATGCTTCACTGGTAGTCTCTGCCTACAATACTATTGTCCGCCAAATAAGTCAGTCATGCAAGGACCCATCTGAACACTGGAAGATAATCACAAGTCTGTTTATAATTTAACCCCCGTATTTTCTGTAAATGTCAGATCACTGAATTGGTGCTCTATCCGTGGAGTTACCTTTCAGGTTATTAACAAGAAAAAAAACTGATCTGTGGGAGAAGTACACAGTTGGGTATCCCTAAACCAAAATCCATAATACGCCAAAATCGGAAACTTTTTGAGGACTGACTTGGCACTCAAATAAAATGTTCGTTGAAGCATTTCTGATTTTTGGATTAGGGTTGCTGAGCCAGTAAGTATATAATTCTGAAATCTGAAACACTTCTCATCCCAAACATTTTAGATAAGGCATACTCAACCTGTAATATGGTGATTAAGACAACAGAATAGGGAGCACATTACTTAATCCCTCTGTTTTTGGTGTGTGGGGGTGGGTTCCTATGGAACTACAGACATTAAATATTCAGAGTGGGTTTTTTTTGTTGTTGTCTTTTGTTTTTGACACAAGGTCTCCCTCTGTCACGTAGGCTGAATCACATCTTGATGCACACCTATAGTCCCAGATACTCAGGAGGCAGAGGTGGGAGGACAGCTTGAACCCCAGAGATCAAGGTTGCAGTGGCGCAGTCACAGCTCCTCCTTGACTTCTGGGGTTCAAGCTGTCATCCCGCCTCAGCCTCCTGAGTACCTGGGACTATAGGTGTGCACCAAGATAGTTTTACTTTTTGCTTAATTTCTAATTTTTACAATTGCTTAATTGTTTTACTTTTCATAGAGACTGGGTCTTGCCATGTTTCTCAAGCTGGTCTCAAATTCCTGGGCTCAAGCAGTTCTCCTGCCTCAGCTCCCAAAGTGCTAGGGTTTATGGGCATGACCCACTGTACCCAGCCTCAGAATGTTGTTTCTTTTTTTTTTTCTTTGAGATACAGTCTTGCTCCGTCACCCAAGCTGGAGTGCAGTGGCGTGATCTCAGCTCACTGCAATTTCCGCCTCCTGGATTCAAGGAATTCTCCTGCCTTAGCCTCCCAAGTAGCTGGGATTACAGGTGTGTACCACCATGCCTGGCTTATTTTTTTTATTTTTGGTAGAGATGGGGTTTCACCATGTTGGCCAGGCTGGTCTTGAACTCCTGACCTCAGGTGATCCGCCCGCCTCAGCTTCCCAAAATGCTGGGATTACAGACATGAGCCACCACCTGTTTTAAAATCTTATATTAATTTAAAATTTTTGGCCAGGCACAGTGGCTCACACCTGTAATCCCAACACCTTGGGAAGCCAAGGCAGTTGGATCACAAGATCAAGAGATCGAGACCATCCTGGCCAACATGGTGAAACCCCATCTCTACTAAAAATACAAAAGTTAGCTGGGTGTGGTGGTGCATGCCTGTAGTCCCAGCTACTTGGGAGGCCGAGACAGGAGAATCCTGGAGAATCGCTTGAACCTGGGAGGTGGAGGTTGCAGTGAGCCGAGATTATACCACTGCACTCCAGCCTGGCAACAGAGTGAGACTCTGTCTCAGAAAAAAAAAAAATTTTTTTTCACTCCTCCACTGGTAATGGATACATATTGGTATTACAAATGAAATGTAACATTACCCTTTTTTTTTTTTTTTGCTTTCTAAGATTTGATTTTACACTCATTCATTACTTAATGAAGGGGATGCAGTCTGAAAAATGAATAGGTAGCAGTTTTGACATGCAAACATCATAGAGTATACTTAACACAAACCTAGATGGTGTCACCTGCTACACACCGAGGCTATGGTGCTAAAACTATTGCTCCTAGTATGTAAACCTATACAGCGCGTTACTGTACGGAGTACTGTTCACGGTTGTAACACTGTGGTATTTGTATATCTACAGAAAAGGTGTAGTAAAAATACAGTATACCCTTCCTTTCGCTGCCTGACCGCTGCCATCATGGGTTGTATGCATGCTCCCAGGAAGGGCCTGTCCCAGTCGGCTTTGCCCTATCGCCGTAGCGTCCCCACGTGGCTGAAGGAGCAGATTTACAAACTGGCCAAGAAGGGCCCGACTCCTTCACAAATCAGTGTGATCCTGAGAGATTCACATGGTGTCGCACAAGTACATTTTGTGACAGGCAATAAAATCTTAAGAATCCTTAAGTCTAAGGGACTTGCTCCTGATCTCCCTGAAGATCTTTACCATTTAATTAAGAAAGCAGTCGCTGTTCGAAAGCATCTTGAGAGGAACAGAAAGGATAAGGATGCTAAATTCCGTCTGATTCTGATAGAGAGCCGGATTCATCGTTTGGCTCGGTATTATAAGACTAAGCGAGTCCTCCCTCCCAATTGGAAATATGAATCATCTACAGCCTCTGCCCTGGTCGCATAAATTTGTCTGTGTGCTAAAGCAATAAACGTGATTTTTTAACAAAAAAAAAAAAAAAAAAAAAAAAAAATACAGTATAAAGTATTTTTTTTTAAAAGAAGCACCTGTATCATTTGTCCATTTGTCATAAATTAACCTCTTGCTTTTTGTAGGTTACTACTAACAATAAGAATACTAAGTAACTATCTTCACAGCTCTTTTTGTCCTTGGGCTAGATCCCACTAATCAGAGTGGCAATGTGTTTGACTGTCACTTGAAGTGATTTTTTTGCATTTTATTTTATTGGAGGCAGGGTCTCACCCTGTGGCCCAGGCTGGACTGCAGTGATGCAATCACAGCTCACTTTAGACTTGGCCTCCCGGGCTCAAGCAGTCCTCCTGCTGGGATTACCAGTGTGAGCTGCTGCATGTGGCCTTCCCTCTGATTTGAATAGCCAACTTTATTATATTTTCAAATTCTCTTGCCAGTGTTGCTGTTTCAGTAGCTTGCTACCAATTAATTTGGCATCTTCTGTTGATTTCCCTTCCAATCCTGAGTCAGTCATAACTGTAACTTTTTATCATTTCAAGAATGTTCTTACATTTGGTAAGGAATGATATAAAATTGGGAGGAAGGTCTTTGCTTCAAGGGTTATAGTTTAAGCTGCTAATCAAAATTGTGATCTTTCTTAAGGAAATTTGTCAAAAACTTACAGTATAAAAATTTATAGTATATTTTCAGATTTATCCTCAGAGTTAAGTGCAATTATTTTATTTTTTTATGTAGACAGGGTCTTACTCTCTCCCCCAGGCTGGAGTGCAGTGGCACAGTCATAGCTCACTGTAACCTTGACTTTCTGGGCATAAGCCCTTGATGCCCCCAAAAGCACTGTGACTATAGGTGTGAGCCAACACACTTGACCTGAGGTGCAGTTATTGTAATGATATTAATTTAAGTTTGTTATGGAGTATTGATTAACTACATCATGGATACTGAGAACAACTTGTGGGTTAATTTATTCCGTTTGTGATACAAATCAATGCCTTTTAAAACGAGACAAATTCAGTGAGCCTTTTGCATCATTGGTGTGATTAAAGACCAAGTCTTGGTTTAACTCTGAACTTCATAGACCTATGAAAAAGTATAACTTGCATGACTGTAACCGAGCAAAAAATCGTAAATGACCTTGTCTGTCTGCATTGTGTCTTTATTATCTTTTCAGTAGGCCAACTTTGTCTATCCAGCATCCACCATCTGCAGCAATTAGTATTCAGCGTCCCGCCCAGTCACGAGATGTCACAACAAGAATCACACTACCATCTCACCCTGCATTAGGGACGCCAAAACAGCAGCTTCATACCATGGCTCAGGTAAAATCAAAGGTGGAGAACCACCTGTGTACCTCTTTGTTCGATAAAACCAAAAATGTGCAAAATGTGCAGAGGGCCTGGCAATACTGAAGGCATTGATTGTGTTTAGCCTGGATGGAGTGGATAACGTTCTTATAACTGTGTTGTGGGGTTTCCCTCACAGAAAACGATCTTCAGTACTGGTACACCAGTGGCTGCAGCCACAGTAGCACCTATTTTGGCAACCAACACCATTCCTTCAGCAACTACAGCTGGTAAGTCCATAACCCTGCTCTTCCTTCTACCGAGGATAAAGGAGGCAAGAGTGGTGAGTTAATTTTTTATTTCTCACCTTCACTCAGAGAAAAACAGTGGGCTAGAAAAATTCTCTTAACTTTTTCTAAGAGTTTTCCCAGGTTTTTGAGAATCTGTAACGTGAGCAGAGAAGTTATTGTGAAAGAATTTCCTTTATTTCAGGATCTGTGTCACACACGCAAGCTCCCACAAGTACCATTGTTACCATGACAGTGCCCTCCCATTCCTCCCATGCGACTGCTGTGACCACCTCAAACATCCCAGTCGGTAAGTGACATGCTGCCTTCAGACAGAAACTTACAGGGAGTGGTGTAGCTCCTCTGACTCGGCCTTCATGTTGATGGCTAGTATTGATTTTTACAATTGTTGATTTTCAAAGCAACATTGAATATGACTTTTAATATTATGTATCATACAGACTTGGCATTGATGGTAGGGGAAAAAGAGGGTAACAATTCTTGAGTACTCAAACTTTAACTGTAGTTTTGACTTCCTTTCTTATCTAACCGTACCTTTTATAAAAAATAAGCAGTACTGACGTAGTTGGACAAGAACAACAAGAAAAGCAAAGATCTGGAATGAGGAAAACTTGTATATGTTGACAGATTGTTCAGGGAAGGTTTTTGAGTGACACAACAGTGGGAAGAACACTAAGGCTCAAGTGTGTTCCCCAGGTTTTCATCTGAGTGCTGCCCCCCAGTACTTCACGACCATCCTAGAACTTCTTCTAGGCTTTCTTTATTCTAAGTATATGTATACTTTGAATTTTAAAATAATTCCTGGAAAGTTTCTGGCAGTCCAACTTCAGTCATCAAGCTCAGGGATTTGCACACTTTCTAGAAACATCTTAGACTTTGCAGACCACATAGGTGTGCGTCATCACCACTGTTCAACTCTGTGTCATGCAAGTAACTGTGGACAGTATGTAACCGGATGGATGTGACTGCGTACCAATGAGACTCTGCTTATGGATGGAGAAATTTGATTTCTTCTTTTTTTAAGAGACGGGGTCTTGCTCTGTCATCCAGACTTGAGTATAGTGGTGTAGTCATAGCTTACTGTAACTGAGACTCAAGCTATCCTCCTGCCTCAGCTTCCCCATTAGCTGGGGCTGTAGGTACATACCACCACACCTGGCTAATTTTTAAAAATTTTTTGTAGGCCAGCCATGATGGCTCACACCTGTAATCCCAGCATTTTGGGAGGCCAAGACAGGGATCACTTGAGCCAGGAGTTCGAGACCAGTCTGACCAACATGGTGAAACCCCATCTCTACTAAAAAAAAAAAAAAAAAAAAAAAAAAAAAAAAAATGGCCAGGCATGGTTGCACATACCTTTGTATTGCCAGCTACTTGGGAGGCTGAGGCAGGAGAATCACTTGAATCTGAGAGGTGGAGGTCACAGTGAGCGAGATTGTGCCACTGCACTCCAGCCTGGATAACAGTGAGACTTGGTCTCAAAAAAAAAAAAAAAATGTGTGTGTGTGTGTGTGTAGACAAGGTCTTGCTGTGTTGCCCAAGCTACTCTCAAACTGCTGGTTTCAAGGAGTCCTTCCACCCTTAGCCTCTCAGAGTGCTGGGATTATAGGCATTGAGCCACCGATTCTGGCCTGAATTTCATATTGTTTTTGTGAGTCACAGTATATTCTTTTGATCTTTTTGCCCTCAACCATTTAAAAGTGTTAACTCATTCTTTGCTCATGAGACAGCAGGCTGGATTGACCTATAGACCATAGGTTGCTGACACCTATGCATGGGGCTGTTATCTCACTGCCATACCATCTAAAGCAGGGAATATGGCCTCCTAGGAAGAACACAGCTTTGATTAGCCCACCAGCTATAGGCTTCATTAATCATTTCTAGTATTGCCTCTGCCTTGGTTTTATATTGAAGAGCATGTCATCTTATTGTTCTCTACTCTCAAAAGATACAGGACAGCTGCCATATTTTTGACATAGTGTCCACTTGGAGATAAGACTGCTTTTTTGTGAAGAGGACACCCTGACATACTCGTGACTGGGCATAAAATGTGGGTTCCTGCCCCCTGAGCAAACTTTGAAGCCTCATTTCTGGAATAATTATAGTACCCAGGAAGTCCCTACTCCTGTTCTAGGTGACCAGCCTACACCAGCCTTAAATAGGTGCTCAGCTTCACTGAAGTCTTTTAGCACAGAGGGTGCTGCTACTGGGTCTTTCCTGCATTGCTGCTCACTGTGACTTGCCATGAGAGAGACCAAATTTTCCCCATAACCTTCTGAATTTAATTTATATTTGTGAAAAGAAGTTTGTTTTGTATGTGTTTAGCATTAACACACTTTTGTTGAAAAAGGTAGCGAATTGTCCATATTGCCATTTCAGCCCATTTCCTTACTCTGCCTGTGTCATCAGCTCTCCTGAGTGCTATCACAGCAGAGCCACACCCAGACACTTAAAGTTTGTCAAGTCAGGAGCCTCATTTGGGTATTTGTATCTATGATAGAAAGTCAGACCAATAAAGAGGGGCCATTGTGGCCCAGAGGGACTGTGTAGTTTCCTCTTGACCCTCCACCATGAAGAAGTTTTTAGAGATTGGTTCTTGTGAATGTCCCTCTGTCTTCCTAAGATATCCCACCTTGGAAGTAGACTCACTATAAAGTACTAGGAGACATACTTACATGTATTCCTGCATTCCATGGGGTTTGTGCTGTCATTTTGTTTTTTTCTTTTATGCTAACCCCAATATTTCTGTATTATAATAGGATCTCTCTTAAGAAAGGTAGCTCAGATGAGAAGGGAAACCTGATACAACCCTAGATCCCTGATTTTCAAGTTGGGAAGTAGAACATATATATTAAAATCACCTAAGTGGCTTTTTCCAAGTGAGCTTTCCCTCTCCAGGTGATATTAAATCTGAATTCGGCTATTCTTATTAGGAATGTGTTGGCTCAGAGAAAAAGAGCCTGATAAATCACAAGTATAAGATTTTTGTCTCTATTCCAGTAGAATACCAGTCTTATTTTCTCCATGTTCTGGTCAACATGTGACCATGTTCTCAATTATAGAAAGCAAAATCTGATGATCACATTATTCAGAAAATAGGGATAAGTTTTGGAGATAGCTTTATGACAGACTTAATGTTTTCTGCACTGTATAGTCCCTTGGTTTTTATTTGATTATTGAGAATGGGGTGTTTTGTTTTGTTTTGTTTTGTTTTGAAATGAAGTCTTGCTCTGTGTCTCAGGCTGGAGTACAGTGGTATGATCTCAGCTCACTGCAACCTCCGCCTCCCAGGTTCAAGCGATTCTCCTGCCTCACCCTCCTGAATAGCTGAGATCACAGGTGTGCACCACCATGCCCAGCTGATTTTTGTCTTTTTAGTAGAGACAGGGTTTCACCATGTTGGCCAGGCTGGTCTTGAACTCCTGACCTCCGGTGATCCGCCAGCCTCA